CTATTATCCCATTGTATTTATTATACACACACACACACACACACACACACACACACATATATATATATATATATATATTTTTTTTTTTTTTTCTTTTGAGACAGAGTCTCATGCTGTTGCCCAGGCTGGAGTGCAGTGGTGCAATCTCAGCTCACTGCAACCTCCGCGTCCTGGGTTTAAGCGATTCTCCTGCCTCAGCCTCCCAAGTAGCTGGGATTACAGGCGCCCACCACTATGCCCAGCTAATTTTTGTAGTTTTAGTAGAGACAAGGTTTCACCATGTTGGCCAGGATGGTCTCAGTCTCTTGGCCTCGTGATCCACCTGCCTCGGCCTCCCAAAGTGTTGGAATTACAGGCATGAGTCACCGCACTGGCCTATTTATTTTTAATATATTTTACTTTTTTTGAGATGGAGTCTTCCTTTGTTGCCTGGGCTGGAGTGCAGTGGTGAGATCTCAGCTCACTGCAACCTCCACCTCCTGGGTTCAAGTGATTCTCCTGCCTCAACCTCCCGACTAGCTATTACAGGTATGCACCACCACACCTGGCTAGTTTTAGTAGAGATGGGGTTTCACCATGTTGGCCAGGCTGGTCTCGAACTCCTCAAGTGATCCGCCCATCTCAGCCTCCCAAAGTGCTGGGATTACAGGCATGAGCCACCGCTCCTGGCCTATTATCCCATTTTAAAGATGAAGAAACCGAGGCACAGCAAGCAGGAAGATTGCCACACAGCTGCTAAATGGCTGAGCCAGGATTCCAACCAGCCAGTCTGGCTCCAGAGTCTGCACTTGTATGCTCTGCTGCCTCAGGTCATCTGCAGAATGAATGACTGGTGTGTTTGTCTGTCTTTCACCTCCCCTGGACATTTCTCCTCCCCACCAGTGTGTAAGCTGCTAAGCACAGAGCTACAGGGGGAGCTGAGTCGCACCGGTCGATCTCGAGAGGTGCTGGAGCTGGGGCAGGTGCTGGACACAGGCAAGAGGAAGAGACATGTGCCTTACAGCGTTTCGTGAGTCCTTCATGCTCCTCCCCTTTCCAACCCCCAAGGGAGCTCTGGGAGTTCCTACAGCATCCAGGGAATCTGTGTTTCCTCTCTTTCCACAGAGAGACAAGGCTGGAAGAGGCCTTAGAGAATTTATGTGAGCGGATCCTGGACTACAGTGTTCACGCTGAGCGCAAGGGCTCACTGAGATATGCCAAGGTCAGACCCTTCCCCAGGGCAGGACCCCACTTCTCAGAAACAAAGATCTGTATCCCCTGAGGTTATCTGCCCATCATTTCACCATCATGGGACTCACCTGTGAATCTCTAGCAGTTGACAAAACTGAAATGGCAGAAAGGGGAAGGGGGGGGGGTAGGGTGGTGGGCTGGGCTGATGCCAAATTCTTAATCTCTCAGGGTCAGAGTCAGACCATGGCAACACTGAAAGGCCTAGTGCAGAAGGGGGTGAAGGTGGATCTGGGGATCCCTCTGGAGCTGTGGGATGAGCCCAGCGTGGAGGTCACATACCTCAAGAAGCAGGTAGGATCAGATACTGCACCATCCAGGGAGGTGAGAAGGGAACCTGAGAGAGAAGCTAGGTTCTAGGGTTCGACTGTAGGGGGCGTCTACCCCAAGCATGGGGAATGGGGCAGAGTGAGGACTGTGCCATTGATTAAAGTAGGGCCAGGACCAGTGGGGCACGGTGGCTCGGCTCACACCTGTAATCCCAGCAATTTAGGAGGCTGAGGCAGGTGGATCACCTGATGTCAGAAGTTCAAGACCAGCCTAGCCAATGTGGCGAAACCCCGTTTTTAATAAAAACACAAAAATTAGCCGGAGGTGGTGGTGTGATCCCAGCTACTCGGGAGGCTGAGGCAGGAGAATTACTTGAACCCAGGAGGTGGAGGTTGCAGTGAGCCGAGATCACACCATTGCACTCCAGCCTGGGCGATGGAGCAAGACTCCATCTCAAAACAAACAAACAAACAAACAAAAGAAGAAATCATAATGAGCTGGGTGAAGTGGCTCACAACTGTAATGCTAGCACTTTGCGAGTCCAAGGGAGAAGGAGTGCTTCAGGTCAGAGTTCAAGACCAGCTTGTGCAACATAACAGACCCTTCACTACAAATAATAATAATTTTAAAGAATTTTTTTTTTTCCGAGACGGAGTTTCGCTCTTATTGCCCAGGCTGGAGTGCAATGGCACCATCTCAGCTCACCGCAACTTCCAAATCCTGGGTTCAAGCAATTTTCCTGCTTCAGCCTCCTGAGTAGCTGGGATTACAGGCGCCTGCCACTACACGCAGCTAATTTTTTGTAATTTTAGTAGAGACGAGGTTTCATCATGTTGGCCAGGCTGGTCTCGAACTCCTGATCTCTGGTGATTCGCCTGCCTTGGCCTCCCAAAGTGCTGGGATTACAGGCGTGAGCCATTGGGCCCTGCCTTAAGGAAAATTTTTAAAAAGTAATAATGGGCCGCGTGCGATGGCTCACATACGTAATTCCAGCACTTTGGGAGGCCGAGGCAGGCGGATCACAACATCAGGGGTTGAAGACCATCTGGGCCAACATAGTGAAACCCCATCTCTACTGAAAATACAAAAATCAGCCGGGCGTGGTGGCATGCATCTGTAGTGCCAGCTACTCCGGAGGCTGAGGCAGGAGAATCGCTTGAACCTGGGAGGTGGAGGTTGCAGTGAGCTGAGATCCCACCACTGCAGTCCAGCCTGGACGACAGAGCAAGACTCCATCTCAAAAAAAAAAAAAAAAAAAAAGGTTGCTAATGATATCCACCATCACTTATCAAGCACCTACTGTGTCCCAGACTCTAGATCACATACTTTGCATCTGCAGCCTCATTTTACCCTCAACAACCTGATGTGGTAGGTGCAATTACCGTACATATTTTACAGCCAAGGAGCTAAAACTCAAGAGTTTAATAACCTACTTGGCAGAGTAGGTGCTGGTAAATGTTTGTTGAATGAATGAGGATCGCACATCTAGTAGACCAAGCTTAGCTTCCTGGCTACCTGCCTCTCCAAAATCAGTCAGGTTGAGGAGGGAGAGAAGACAGGAGGGATCTCAAATTCCTCCAGAGCAGATACTCTTCTGGCCCTTCTACTTGACCAGTGTGAGACCATGCTGGAGGAGTTTGAAGACGTTGTGGGAGACTGGTACTTCCACCATCAGGAGCAGCCCCTACAAAATTTTCTCTGTGAAGGTCATGTGCTCCCAGCTGCTGAAACTGGTAAGCGTGGGGACTGAACTCCTCTCCTGCCAAGCCATAGCCTCCCCTGCTTCCAGGACTAATATATGAATTGTTTTCTGTCATCCAATCTAGCATGTCTACAGGAAACTTGGACTGGAAAGGAGATCACAGATGGGGAAGAGAAAACAGAAGGGGAGGAAGAGCAGGAGGAGGAGGAGGAAGAGGAGGGAGGAGACAAGATGACCAAGACAGGGGGCCACCCCAAACTTGACCGAGAAGATCTTTGACCCTTGCCTTTGAGCCCCCAAGAGGGGAAGGGATCATGGAGAGCCCTCTGAAGTCTGCGCTCTCCCTGCTCCACAGCTTTCAGGGTGTGTTTGTGAGTGACTCCACCCAAGCTTGTAGCTGTTCTCTCCCATCTAACCTCAAGCAAGATCCTGGTGAAACAGCATGGCATGGCTTTCGGGGTGGAGGGTGGGGGTGGAGGTCCTGCTCCTACAGATGAACTCCATCCAGCTCCTTAATTGGCAGGTGTATGTGCTGACAGTACTGAAAGCTTTCCTCTTTAACCAATCCCCACACCCACCCAGAGGTCAGCAGTGGCACTGGAGCTGTGGGCTTTGGGAAAGTCACTTAGCTCTTTAAGTGCTAAAGTGCTTTTAGACCCTTCCAAGGAAGAGGCCAGAACGGACATTCTCTGCGATCTATATACACTGCCTGCATCCAGAAGGCTACACACCAGCAAACAGTGAAGGAGAATGGGACACTGGGTCATGGCCTGGAGTTGCTGATAAATTCGGTGGGGTAGATACTTGGTCTACTTCAGATCAGTGTCACCGAGAGCCCACCATATAGTTTCATAGGTGCTAAATTTTCTATATTGCTATTAAACTTTTTTCTTTTTTTCTAAAAACTAGTTGGGCCCAAAGTTTCAAACAACAGCAGGGCACACATAGCTAGCTGGTCAATGAGGCAGAATGGCCGCTGTCTTGTTAAGCTGAAGCTGCAGGCTGAGCAACATAGTGAAACCCCACCTCTATACACACACATACACACACACAAATTAAGAAGACTGCAAGGCTGGTGGTGTAGCGCCTGTAGTCCCAGTTACTACAGAGGTGGAGATGGGAGGATCAGTTGAGTCCAAAAGATCCAAGACCAGCCTGGAGGCTGGTCGAGGTGATTCACACCTGTAATCCCAGCACTTTGGGAGGCCGAGGCAAGTGGATCACCTGAGGTTAGGAGTTCGAGAGCAGCCTGGCCAAACAATAGAGAAACCTCGTCTCTACTAAAAATACAAAAATTGGCCGGGCATGGTGGTGGGCGCCTGTAATCCCAGTTACTCGGGAGGCTGAGACAGGAGAATCGCTTGAACCCAGGAGGTGGAGGTTGTGGTGAGCTGAGATCGTGCCACTGCACTCCAGCCTGGGTGACAGGGTAAGACTCCGTCTCAAAAAAAAAAAAAAAAAAAAAATTAGAGGGGCGTGCACGCCTGTATTCCCAGCACTTCCGGAGGCCGAAGCAGGAGGATCGCTAGAACCCAGGGGTTCAAGGCTGGGGAGAGCTATGATGGTGTCCCTATACTCTAGCCTGGGCGACAGGGAGAGATTTTGTCTCAAAAGAGAAAAAGATCAGGCGCGGTGGCTCACACCTGTAATCCTAGCACTTTAGGAGACCAAGCCTGGAGGATCGCTGGAGCCCAGGAGTTCCAGACCAGTCCTGGCAACAGAACTAGACCCTGTCTCTACAAAAAAAAAAGAAAAAATAGAAATCTTAGCTGGGCCTGGTGGTGCGCGCCTGTGGTCCAAATACTCAGGGGGCTGAGGCGGGAGGATCACATGAGCCCAGGAGGTCGAGGCTGCAGTGAGGTCTGATCGCGCCACTGCACTCCAGCCTGGACAACTGAGCATGACCCTTCCTCAGAGCTAATGGCGCTTCATAATTCTGCAGTCCAAGGAAGCTTCTGGGGTCGCGGGGCGGAGAACCGCCAGGAGGCTGGAGTCCAAACGGCCTCCTGTGGCAGACGGTAAAGGCGCCGGAACTACAGCTACCTCCGCGTCGCCGTTTCGGCCGCCATATCTGGGTGCACGGGAACTCGCAGAGGACAAACTCCCACGCGCGTTTTCGATTTCTGCGCTTTCCTCGAGTGAGGCAAGACTTAGCAGAGGCCCAAGGTAGAGCGCGGCTAGGATTCGATAGAGGGGAATACAAAGGATAGCCTTAGGAGAGTGACGGGCAAGGACTTACGTACCGCTACAGGAACGGGGCGGGGGCCGAGGATGCCGAGGGAGGGGCGGGCCCAAGTGTGAGGGGAGGCTGGGCGATACCATCTTGGGCAGGGAGGGTGATACCAACTTAATGGGAGGCGGGTGGCAGAGAACCGAGGCTTAGGGGCAGTGGCGGGGCCGGGCTCGGGTGGGGGATCGCAGAGGGATAGGACGGTCGCCCACTGCTCCATTTCCTTTCTTCCCAGCCCGTCCCTCCCTGCCAGGAGCAGCCTCATGCGGACCGAGCCATTGCGCGGGGCGTCCCCTCTGCTGGTGCCCGGCGACCCCTACTCCGTGGTGGTTCTGCTGCAGGGCTACGCGGAGCCCGAGGGGGTGGGCGACGCCGTGCGCGCCGACGGCTCCGTAACCCTGGTCCTACCCCAGACCCGGGGCCCGGCCTCCAGCCACCGAAAGTCCCCGCGCGGGAGTGGCGGCGCAGAGGCCGCCCTGGAGGATGCGGCCTGTGGCCCCATCCTGGTGGACACCGGGGGCCCCTGGGCTCGGGAGGCGCTGCTGAGGGCGCTGGCGGGGCAGGGCGTGGCCCCGGGAGACGTGACGCTGGTTGTGGGGACCCATGGGCACTCAGATCACATCGGGAACTTGGGGCTGTTCCCAGGCGCGGCTCTGCTGGTCTCGCACGACTTCTGCCTCCCCGGAGGCCGCTACCTGCCCCACGGGCTGGGTGAGGGGCAGCCCCTGCGCCTGGGCCCGGGGCTCGAGGTGTGGGCCACGCCGGGCCATGGGGGCCAGCGCGACGTGAGCGTGGTGGTGGCCGGCACGGCTCTGGGTACCGTAGTGGTGGCGGGAGATGTGTTTGAGCGAGATGGGGACGAGGATTCGTGGCAGGCGCTGAGTGAAGACCCCGCAGCCCAGGAGCGGAGCCGGAAGAGAGTCCTGGTCGTTGCCGACGTGGTCGTACCTGGTCACGGGCCCCCCTTTCGAGTGCTCAGGGAAGCCGCGCAGACCGAGACGGAGGGTGGAGGGAACAGCGAGCAGGAGCCGGTGGTCGGAGAGAGGAGCCCGCCCCGCACTGATCAGCCCAGAGAGGGACTGGACTCTTGTAAGCCCTAACATCCAGGAGTTGCTGGAGACAAAGTCAGAGCAGTCAAGGGTGAGAGCTTCCAGCCCTTCCAGGAGGCTAGTTTTCCAGTGAGGACAGAGTGCACCTGACATCAGTATCATTGCCTATCTCTGCCACCAAACTAAGATCAAAGGACGGGCTCAGCTCCCTGTGCATTCTCCCTGGGCCTCAGTAAAATGGGGGAAGGTTCCTGGGAGAGGTCTCCAAAATAAAAATGGAAACTGCATTGAAAATCATAGTGCCCTAATGTAAATGTGAAGCATTGACGGTGATAATCGTGCAAACATGGTAATCTGCAACTGCAGCAGGGGCATACTTTGGCCAGTTGCCCCTTTCTTATAGGATGGAGGTTGCTGAGAGAAGGTGCAGGGCACAGAGATGACTCTTTAGTCACCTGACTTAACGTATCTGTTCATATTTTTTTGTCACACAGGCTGGAGTGCAGTGGTACAATCATAGCTCACTGCAGCCTCCAGCTCAAGCCATCCTTCTGCCTCAGACTCCCAAGTAGCTGGGACTACAGGCAAGTGCCACTATGCCCTGCTACTTTTTTTTTTTTTGAGGTGGAGTCTCACTCTGTCGCCCAGGCTGGAGTGCAGTGGTGTGATCTCGGCTCACTCTGAGATCTCGGCTCACTCCCGCCTCCCGGGTTCACGCCATTCTCCTGCTTCAGCCTCCCGAGTAGCTGGGACTACAGGCGGCCGCCACCATACCTGGCTAATTTTTTTGTTTTTTGTTTTTTTCTTTCTTTCTTTCTTTTTTTTTCTTTTGAGGCAGAGTCTCGCTCTGTCGCCCAGGCTGGAGTGCAGTGGCGCAATCTCGGCTCACTGCAAGCTCCACCTCCCGGGTTCACACCATTCTCCTGCCTCAGCCTCCGGAGTAGCTGGGACTACAGGCGCCTGCCACCACGCCCAGCTAATTTTTTGTATTTTTAGTAGAGATGGGGTTTTGCCATGTTAGCCAGGATGGTCTCGATTTCCTGACCTCGTGATCCACCCACCTCGGCCTCCCAAAGGGCTGGGATTACATGCTTGAGCCACTGCGCCCGGCCATTTTTTTTTTTGTATTTTTAATAGAGACGAGGTTTCACCGTGTTAGCCAGGATGGATTTTTTTATTTTTATTTTTTTGAGACACAGTTTCACTCTGCCCCCACAGGCTGCGGTGCAATAGCGCAATATTGCACTACAGATTGCACTGCAACTTCCGCCTCCTGGGTTCAAGTGATTCTTGTGCCTCAGCCTTCCCAGCAGCTGGGATTACAGGCTCACACTACCATGTACAGCTAATTTTTATATGTTTAATAGAGAGAGAGTCTTACCATGTTGGCCAGGCTGGTCTCAAACTCCTGGCCTCAGGTGATCCGCCCACCTCAGCTTCCCAAAGTGCTGGGGTTATAGGTATGAACCACCACGCCTGGCCATCAGCTAATTTTTTTTTCCTTTTTTTTCAGAAATGGTCTCACTGTGTTGCCCAGGCCGGTCTTGAACTCCTGACCTCAAGAAATCCCACCTTCTTGGGCCCTCTGCATCTTTTTTGAGACAGAGTTTTGCTCTTGTTGCCCAGGCTGGAGTGCAATGGTGCAATCTCGGCTCACTGCAACTTCCGCCTCCCCGGTTCAAGGGATTCTCCTGCCTCAGCGTCCCGAGTAGCTGGGATTACAGGCACCCACCACCAGGCCCGGCTAATTTTTTGTATTTTTAGTAGAGACGGGGTTTCACTATGTTGGCCAGGCTAGTCTCAAACTGCTGACCTCAGGCAATCCACCCTCGTCGGCCTTCCAAAGTGCTGGGATTACAGGCGTGAGCCACAGAGCCTAGCCCTGCCCCTGCCTTTATTCACTAATTCTTCGTCCAGTGGATACTTAACCCCTGCAGTGTCTCAGGCACTGCCTAAGTTATGGGATACAACCAAGAGCCCGCTGGACAAACTCCCTGTCCCTCATGGAGATCACATTCTTTTTTTTTTTTTTTTTGAGACGGAGTCTCGCTCTGTCGCCCAGGCTGGAGTGCAGTGGCCGGATCTCAGCTCACTGCAAGCTCCGCCTCCCGGGTTTACGCCATTCTCCTGCCTCAGCCTCCCGAGTAGCTAGGACTACATTAGCTGGGACTACAGGCGCCCGCCACCTCGCCCGGCTAGTTTTTTTTTGTATTTTTTAGTAGAGACGGGGTTTCACCGTGTTAGCCAGGATGGTCTTGATCTCCTGACCTCGTGATCCACCTGTCTCGGCCTCCCAAAGTGCTGGGATTACAGGCTTGAGCCACCGCGCCCGGCAGTTTTTTGTATTTTTTAGTAGAGACGGGGTTTCGCCGTATTAGCCAGGATGGTCTCGATCTCTGACTCGTGATCCCCGTTCCCTCCCATGCTGTTACGCTTGAGCCACCGCCCAGTTTTTTGTATTTTTTAGTAGAGACGGGGTTTCGCCGTATTAGCCAGGATGGTCTCGATCTCCTGACCTCGTGATCCACCCGTCTCGGCCTCCCAAAGTGCTGGGATTACAGGCTTGAGCCACCGCGCCCGGCCGAGAGTGGGCTCTTTTATTTAGGGTGTCAGGAAGAGTCTTCGTGAGGAGATGATGTTTGTTCAGAAAACCAAATGAGAAGAAAGCCAGCCATGTGTGGATCTGGGAGAAGGTCATTCCAGGCTCAGGAACAGCAGGTATAAAAGCCCTGAGACAAGACAGCTTGACTCACTGGAGCGGCAAGAAGACCCATGGTAGGGCTGGATGTGGTGGTTCACGCCCATAATCCCAGCACATTGGGAGGCTGAGGAGGGAGGATCACTTAAGCCCAGGAGTTCAAGACCGGCCTAGGCAGCATAGTGAGACCTCATCTCTATAGAAAATTTAAAAATTAGCCAGGTGTGGTGGTGCCTGCCTGTAGTCTCAGCTACTCAGGAAGCTGAGGTGGAGGCTCACTTGATCAGGCTACAGTGAGTTGTGATCTTACCGCTCCACTTCAGTCTGGAGAACACAGCAAGACCCTATTTCTAAAATTAAAAAAAAAAAAAAAAAAAAAAAAGGCTGGCACAGTGACTCACGCCTGCAATCCCAGCACTTTGGGAGGCTGAGGTGAGCAGATCACTTGAGGTCAGGAGTTCCGGACCAGCCTGGCCAACATGGTGAAACCATGTCTCTACTAAAAATACACACACACACACACACACACACACACACACACTAGCTGGGCGTGGTGGCAGGTGCCTGTAATCCCAGCTACTTGGGAGGTTGAGACAGGAGAATCATTTGAACCCAGGAGGCGGAGGTTGCAGTGAGCCGAGATCGCGCCACTGCACTCCAGCCTGCGCAACAGAGCAAGACCCCGCTTTCTCAAAATAAATAAATAAATACATAGCTGGGCTTGGTGGCATGTGCCTGTAGTCCCAGCTATAGGTTGGGACATCCATGTACTCCCATGCTTCAGGAGGCTGAGGTCCTTGTCCCCAGACTGACTTCAGATTTGGGTATCCTCATGCAATATATGGTTCTACAATCCTCAGCATGTTTTTTTTTGTTGTTGTTGTTGTTTGTTTGTTTGTTTTTTGAGACAGAGTCTTGCTCTGTCACCCAGGCTGGTGTGCAGTGGCATGATCTCAGCTCACTGCAACCTCTGCCTCCCGGGCTCAAGCAATTCTCCTGCCTCAGCCTCCCGAGTAGCTGGGATTACAGGCACACGCCACCACACCCAGCTAATTTTCTGTAGTTTTAGTAGAGATGGGGTTTTACCATGTTGGCCAGCTGGTCTTGAACACCTGACCTCAAGTGATTCACCTGCCTCAGCTTCCCAAAATGCTGGGAACACAGGCTTGAGCCACCATGTCCAGCCAGGTGATTTTTATTTTGTTAAATTTTTTTGTATCCTTTCAAATTTTCTACAAGAAGCATATATTACTTTTGACAATTAGGAGAAATATTTCATTTTACATATCAGCACTTAAGAGTCTATATATATATATATACACACACACACACACACACATAGTTATCCTTTCCAAGAGGGTGGTTCTGATAAACTGAAATGCCATCTATCTCATATCTTTGCAAGGCTTGTTGATACCCTAAATGGAGACTCGAACATAAAATGACAGTTGTCACATGTGCTGGTGTAGAGCTGTGGGCTCTGTCCCCCACCCTCATCTCAGCACTGCTTTTCATGTGGGAACTAAACCTCTATCAGGCTTCCCCCTCCCTTCACCTTTCCTGCCACCATCCATATCCCAATTCTTTTTTTTTTTTTTTTTTGAGAGTTCACCCACTGAAGTGCAGCAGTGCAATCATAGCTCACTGCAGCCTCAACCTCCTGGGCTCAAGCAATCCTCTCGCCTCAGCCTCCCAAGTAGCTGGGACCACAGCACATGCTACCATGCTGGGCTAATTTTATTTTTTGTAGAAAAGGGGTCCCGCTGTGTTGCGCAGGCTGGTCTCAAACTCCCAGATTCAAGCAGTCCTCCCACCTCGGCCTCCCAAAGTGCTGGGATTACAGGTGTGAGCCACGGCGCCCAGCCCCACATCCCAATTCATGCTGGTAGATCTTATGGACTTCATGAGGCAGAGGTAGGAAAAGAGGTCCCAATAGCTGAGCAAAAAGGCTTCCAGGCTTAATGGTCACACTGGCTTCCCCATCAGCACAGCCCTGGGACCCCCAGATGCACTCAGGTGGGGCAGGTGAAAGAAAGGAGCAAGTCCACCTTGTTGTGGACAATGAGCAGGCCTGGGTGGATGCTGTCTGGCAGGGCCAGGCTGGAGGTCATTTCCCAGTCACCTGTAAAGGCCACAGGGAGACGAGCAAAGGCGGCTCGGAGGAGCTGGTTCACCAGGAGGGTGAACCAGTCACTGCCACACACAGACTTATAGCCGGTGGTGGCCAGTTTGATGACCCAGAAGCGTGCCGGCTTCCCGGGCCAGCAGGGCTGCCATGGCCACCTGGATCCCTGCCAGTCATCGCACAAAGATGGATGGAGGGAAGGTGGTAAAATGGGCACCCAAGCCCAGCACCACCACCATGTGGGGTCCCCTGGCCAGGCCCCTCAGCTCCCATGCCACAGACTGCAGGGAGGCCACTGGTTTACGGGCCAAGCGTAGGGGCCAGTCGTGGGAGCGCCAGTGCAGCATGATGTCCTGAGCGGTCTCCGCTGCCATCAGGGGCCCCTTCTGGTATGTGGCATGTAGATTCACTGGCTTCAGGGCTGTCGGGAGGACAAGGAGTGGAGATCCGGGGTTAACATAGAGCTGTACTTCC